TATAAATGATAGCAAAATTATAAAAATATTGTTCAAGTCTTTTTAAAGAAAGTTAAAATAGAGTGGTTCCCAATTTTGCTAAATAAAAATTTAATTCTTTTACATGACAAAATTCGAATGAAAATTGCTAACCTCCCTAAGTTTATCTGATTTTATTTCAATGAAATTATATTTTGTTCACAAAATTCACATACAGAACATGAATGACTTTAAAGTCTTGTACTGTATACCTTACTTATATACCAAGACAATCTATTTTTAATTAAATCATAAATATAAAATTTAATACAGAGATAAAATAATAATAATATGAAGATTTATTAATCAATAAAATTAATTGTGATATTCACCTTCAACATCACATCATATCATATAAATTATTATTGGTTATAAATTTACAATAATGTTTTATTAAATAATATCCGTTTTCTCATTTATTATGAGATTATTTCTATCTCTTTTCATCATTTGATAAAACGAATACAAAATATTTTAATTTCCTTTTTTCTGTTCCTCTTGATTTTCGCTTTTTTTTGTTTTTTTTTACAATGTAAAGTTTGTAGACAAAAATTCTTTAAAATTGGAAATAAAAAATCTTAATTTTATATTTTTAATACTACCCACTGTTTTATTACCTTCATCATACTAGGGAATAAAAAAATATATCTATATATGTATATTTATATGAATGTAAATGTATTAATTTTTCTTATTTCTAAAAAAAATTCACCTAAATCACCTGCAATTTTATTATATTCTCAGAATAAAATTGAAATGAATTCTTTTCAAATCTCTTATTCTTTTAACCATTACGAGTCCATACGAATACGAAATATGTAAATATAAGTATTACCGTCACACAATCAATATGAAATTTGAAATAAATTTTTGTCAAATTTTGAAATTGTAAGACTGCCATGGTGAGTACAATAAAGTTAACGAGCTGAATGAAATACATAAACAATATGATAATATAACATATGATTTTAGTATTTGTATGATGGTTTGTTTTATCGAAAATAAAAAAATTCAATAATAGTAGTATCTACATATATAAAAATTAAGCGAATACGGAACATACACATGTAAATTATTTAAGAATAAAGCGAATTCATTTATACGGGGCAATAAAATAAAGATTTTTACATTGATGTATTGTTGTTATATATGAAGTGGAGGAAATGTTCAAATTCAATTTAAGAAGTTTCATTACCGTATTTCTTAAAAGAAATTCCTGTTGCTTACTCCTAATTTACACGAAAAAGTTAATTATCTATATTGGCGGAGTTTCAGAATGAAATATCAGCCATGTTGTACAAGTCCCTAAAAATATCCCAAATTTATACGACGTCTTTTTTTTTGACACAATCAGAAACGTATATCCTTCAACAACTATGGTGAAAACACGTGATATGTTGTGCGATTATAATACCTCCCATATTGTACTATATGCACTGTGGTGACCATTTTGGTATTCTCGAATATGATCAACAATTAATTATTCATAGTTAAATAGTAAGTGAATGACTCATTTATAAAAAAAAAATAAAGAAAAAAAAAAAGATGGTTATTATGTAAAACGATCTCAGTTGGAAATTTTTTATTAATTTTTCAGTTCTTTCATGCCCCATCTATTTTACTGCTTATGAGTATATTAAATTTAGTTTCTTCGTATTCATTTTGTATTATACTAAAATAGTAATTTAATTAATTCTTTATCCAAAAATTAAAATATTTTTCTTATCTATCTATATATTATTTTGTCATTAAAAAATTATAATATTAATAATATATTAATATATAGATCTATTAAGATTATAATTTAGATACTATATTTGAATATTTAGGTTACAAACATTTTATTTAAAATTATTTCCGCGGAATATAACAAAATTCAATAAAAATTATAATTTATTATTTTACGCTTTTATAATTTATTAAAAAATATTATAGACGGAAAAATTTTCATACATGTTATATTGTACATCGTTTCTGCTTATTACCAAAATTTACTAGTATTATACAATATTAAGTATTTTATATTATGGGGAGGATAATATGTGCAACATAGTTGTAACAAGAAACTCAATATAATGTATATTAAAATGTATTAAATTCACTTAATAAACATAGTCTGTATATTCAGTTTGAAATATAATATCTTGATATTAAATCAAATTTTTAATTTTTAATAACTTGAATAATATAAATTTAAAATTTAATGTAACCTGTCAACTTTTGTTATTTATTTGAAACATTGTTTGCAGCAGATGGCAAATGAAGACATTTTATTTTTCTTTTATATTAATGAGTTACTCTAAAATTTTTCAAATTTGAATTTGTTATAATCTGTTTTTATACTATAATAACATACAGCGATGTACGAGTATGTCAATGATTTTATGATATTAATTTAAGAAAAAAACAAATTCACACTTTTTGTTGTTGATACAAAAATTAATTTAATTTTGTTAACAACTTTCACCTGCGAAAGAAGGACAATTATTATCCTTATATAAATGGAACAAAACGATGTTTTTGTAAGGGAATTAACTTTTATTATTCTTATATTTTGGTGTGGATTAACTTTCAATAAAAATTGTAAGAAAATTAAATTGAAAAATCGATGTTGTTGGAATCTAAATTCCAATATAATTAATTTAAATTTTAAGTTTTTCTATTAAATTTTTTGAAATTTGTATTCGAAATTTAAACATAAATTATATTTTGCCAAAAATTTTTAATCTATAATTTGAAAATTTTAATTAAAATTTGAATAAACGGCCTTTGGTGACAGCTTCTATTCTTAACAGATAGCTGTATTTAAAATAAAATTATTTTATGTCAGTTTTTATTTGATTAAGTGAAAATTTCTCTCATCTAATAAATAAAAGCCATATTATACAAATATTAATATAAGTTATTTAAACCAACATATGTATAGCATATAATAATGTGATTTATGTATTTCTGTCAGTATTCAATATATTTAAATTCAATAATATTTAAAATTGCAGCAGCTTTACTTTTCATTATCATAAAATTTTTCAAATTCCAATAAGAAATATTCAATACCAAAAATATGTCCCATATTACAGGAGAAAACGATCAAAATGCAAGTTATATAAAAAGAGAAGAACACATTTCTTAACTGTTACTAAAATAATTATGAAAATTATATGCTAATTAATAATTTCTTTAAATTTCTAATTTGTATTAAAACCATATATAAAATTAATATTTTAATTCAAGTAATAAGTGGTTGACAAAATTCATATCAATTATCCTTAATATATTTTATCTCACTATAGCATGTTCACATTCAAAACACACTTAAGCTCAGCACTGTAAAATAATTATTAGTACATAGAATATTTTTGAATGTTATTTAAATTGTCAAAAGAAAAACCTGCTGTTTTTTCAATTAAATTCTTAACTATATAGAAAATTTATTTTTTTTTTAAACTAAATAGGTGGTGCAATATTACATTTTCTAATTTCTAAAAATATCTAAATTCCTAACTTATTTGCATAGTGCGCGCAGCAATGTTATTAAAATTATTTTGAATAAAAAAGTGATAAAAATCTAACACGAAATATGCATATATTCTATTTAGAATATAGCATGCATACATATATATATTATAATGTCTAAAATAACTGTTATAATACTATTAAAATGAAAATAATCGTAAAATTTCTATCTACATGCGCACAGTCATTATGAATTTAACTACCGAGTGATTTAAAATAATTTTAGCAATTTTTTGACAAGAATTAAAATTGTTTTCACATTCTAATTTTTTGCTTTTTTTTTTGTTGTTATTTTTTATTCTTATTCTTACTGAGCTTACATTATTTTTACTTTTAAATTATGGTAGAAAGATAATAATCGTTACTTACATTATAGGAATGATGTATCATTACAATTATCAATAAAAATTAATTTTTAAACAGGAGAATCTAAAAAAAAAACAACAAAAATAAAATGAGAAAAATTTAAGAGTAAAAGAGATAGAGAATTTTAATGATAGTAATTAGTTTCTCTACATGAGGTTGGTTCTCTTATAATTTGTTTTTGTTTTTGAATATTCTAAAATTTATACATGTTCCTTGTTTCAATGTACACATGATTTTATTTGAAAAAAAAAAAGTGTTATTATTATTTTGGTACTGCCAGTTGTATGTAATGTTGTGTTTGGTGCTACCAGTTTTTCCATCCAAAGTTTATATTCTGAAGAAATATGGTAAATTTATAAAGGTAGTATTGCAAAGGCTGTCATATTTTGTTGAAACGTTAATTTTTTACTTGAAACACAAATTATTCGAATAATTTCAAATAAATCAATTGTTTGATTGCCTTGACTAAGTGAGAAAAAGGAGATTCTAGGGTTGTTGCTTAGAGAAATGTAAACTTATCTTTTGCGAAATTAAAATTAAAAATTTCAATATTATTTGAAAACACATGAATTCACAGTAAACGATCAAATGAAAATACTTTTGAAATAATTCTTTGAAATTCAAGAGCACACATTCACACACTGTCCGTTTTTTGCAAAAAATATATTCACCACAGCTGCAAATATTTTTATTTGTAAATCATTTCTACATTTCTTATAGTTGTCCGTAACTGCAATGAATACCATCTCTTTTTCTAACTTTCAACAATGTTGCCTATTGCTAACAAATTGAAATTGCATCAATTGAAAATTATCATCTGTTGATTATCATAATTTCCTTAATCATTGCAATTTTTATATTATAACATTCAATTTTAATTGAGTAAAATATTATAGAAGAAAAATTAAATGAAAAAAAAATGTCATAATTATTTATTAAACTTTATTATTCACCAGTTAGAACATAACATTTTCCTTTTTAGGCAAATAAAAAAAATATTTTTATTTTAATTTATTTTAAGAAATTATTCAAAAAATTCATTTAAATACAAAAAAATCAAATAAATAATTTTGTGTTTGTTTTCTCTTATTTTTTTTCAGATTAATATTGCCGTTCAATGCTTAAGTACAGATTTTAGTAGTCAAAAAGGAGTTAAGGTACGTAAATATATAAAATAAATCTTAATGTTTAAATCATAAGTTAAATATCAAGAATGTTGTTGATTTTTTAATTTGTTTTATGTTATTCAACCATACATTGTTGGTTGAAGATGGAAATGGAGTTTGAATACTTCTTTGAAAATAATTTTTTTTTTAACATTATGAATGCCTACTTAGTGCGCGAATAGAAAATATTTTTTTTTGATTTAATACGTAAAATGTAAAAAATAAAATCCAAGATCTCAAGAATTATCCGATTCACAAAGCTTATGTTTTCTTATGATAGAAATGTTGTGATACATCAAAGAAAACCCATCTCACAAAATTCAGAGTAGATTCAAACATTATCGCTGATCATGACCGAGAAAAATCGCTAATAAGACCGAATTTTTTAATTTATTCTAAATATTTTTTGGAAACATAATTGAAGACACGAGTGAATAAAGATGTCATCTACAATTTTTACGAAAATGAGGTTATTGTTAAGTTTTATATGTTTATCATTCATATGCAAAAACCCGTTTTTCAAAAAACAACTCAGTTTAAGAGATAACATGTCTTTAAAAGGTGTTATGTCACACTTTTGAAATATTTTAAAAGAAAGTTATTTTACTCGAAACTTCAAAAACTGTAGTTGATATTGTTATTCACTCATGTCTTCAATTTTGACCCACATTTATTAAATTTTTTTCAAAGATCTAATTCTAATAATTAAAAATTATGTAAAATTATAAAAGTTATTTATAAAGGTTAAAAATAAAGTGATCAACTGCCCATATTTACACCAGATTCCAATTAGAACTGCAACGAATTAAGACTAAACGAACTAGAAAAATAAATATAAATATTTCGAATTAACTATTATACATATTAAGCAATTTTAAACTTATGTATAGCTGATACTCAGCTGTAATTCATAATAAGAATAGTTGTTCTTACATAATTTGTTGCATAAATAATTGAATGAATACCCCTACCTACATCCTTTTAACTTTGACCTTATATGTAATCTGGTGTTATTAAATTTAAGTACCTTTAGCACTCATGCAGAGTAATTGTAAAATAGTTTTGAGTTTTTTTTTCACTTTTACAAAAATAAATAAAATTTTCTTTTTTTTTTTTTCAAATTCTATTATAAATACTCGTATCCAATTTATTATAATCAACAATATCTCACAATTAAAGGGTTCTCTTTTTTCTTAATGACTGTCATTAAAAATCAATAAAATCGGTCTCACCTTCTTAACATTTTTTTTTAGTTTTTTTTTGTTTTCTTATTTTTAACTTTAATATTTATTCTGACTTTTATATTATTATCGTATCTGTTGAATTACTTTAAAATCATTAAAAAAAAAAATTTTTTTTTTTTAAATGCTAATGAAATAATACTGAATGCATAATATGGGATCATTTCATATAGCGAGAATTAAAAATCCAAAAAAACCGAAATCAGAAAAAACACAAGAACGTCAACAGACCACAAAAATTTTGTCATCATATTTTTTGTTTGTTTGTACTTTGTTTACCGCATAGTAATCAAAACCCCATAACTGAGATAGAATTTTTGTTAAAAAAAAAACGCAGGTGCTAAAGGTATACACAAAAAATATAAGAAAAAAAGCAAAAAGAAAAAATTTGTTTTTAAGACGAAAGAGATAGCAAACAACAGAAAATTTATAAATAAAAAATTTACTTAAAAAAAAAAAAAATAATAATTTTCTTTTATTTTCGAGTTTTGTTTTTTTATTGAATAAATACTCATAAGAAAAAAAAGAGAACTCTCATGACAAATTTTTTTATGATTCAAATTTAAAAATAAAATGAAAAGACGTCGTCAACATACTGAGTCAAGCCCTTTTCTTGCATCTCATATTCCCAAAAAAAAAAAAAAAAAACGATATGAGTTTTGATCTGTCAATTCAAAAAAAAAAAACAAAAATACTTTTAGACGACATTTGCATTCACTTAACGTATTATTCCTCTAGTGAACATTTTTTAAACTATATTTTTAATATTCTTAATTAGTAGAATGATAAGTTCGTTCACATGCACATTAAACAAATGCAAATAAAATTTAAAATTATTGGCTAAAAGAATTGATGCCATCTGGAAGTTTTTCCAATTTTATATCAATAAATTTGTTTTTATTAAGAACCTCTCATTTATAAATTGAAGTTAAGCGGAATATTACTCTCTGTTTTCTCCTAATCGAATATACGAATCGATTTAATTCTCAAATTGAAAAATTCCCATCTAAAATACGACTATGTAATGACTAATGAGCATGTAAACATGATAGGAAATAGAAAATTTATATGTATGTATATTTAAAATAAATTTATGATTAAATAATTTGCTGCTACCATTTACAATCATTTTAACTAACCAAAATCTACACAAAAAGAAAAAAATAATTTAAAATTAAATATTTGATTTATTATTATTATTTGTGTAGTTATGGTTGTCTTCCAGATACGAAAATTTTTATAATGTATTTTGTGTAATTTCTCACATTGAATTTAAAACAAAAGTCAATAATATAAAGTTGATTTTGTATACAATTAAGTTTAATTTGAATTCAAAGTGTTTTTGTTTTAGTTTTTCTATTTAAAATTTACTACGATTGATTAGTATTTCCGTAATCTTATCATTTACGAGAAAACAAAAACAAACACACTAGAATTAAATTTGATGAATTTTTAAAGACTCTATAGAATCTTTTTTAATGATTATCGAAACTAAAGAGAAACAATATTAATCAGAAAATTTATTTGATTCCGTCAAAGTTAATTAAGAAATAAAAATTAATTAAGAACTACTTTAATAGAGTTTAATATATTTTTTTTTAATAAGTGTGAGAAAGTTAATAGTTAATTTAATTTTTAATTCCATTTTTATGTGCTTAAAAATATTTTATGATATAAGAACGTTGAAAACTAATTATTAACAAAAAGATGCAACATAAATATGGGTTTTAATTTTCTTAGAAATTCTCAGTTTCCATTCGAATTTGAGCCATTTTATCGTATATATTTTGATTTGAATTGCACACCTACGTAACTAGACTTCTGCTTTTCGAAATGAAATAAGCATTCCATAAGCAAGTGAATAAGGTTGTGTCAAATCAAGCGTATTGTAAAACAGTTTTTTAATATATATTCATTCATATTGTATTTAAAAAGTTCCAATAATTTTTTATTTAAATGTGCTTTATTCAAAAATTTAATGAATTTTTAATTCATTTTGAAAATTTAAAAAATCTTAATATTCACTAATTAATTAATTATGTAAAAAACTCATATATTAAGATTTAATTCAAAAAAAGATTTTAAAATTTTTTCATGAAAACTATTAGCTATAATTATTTTTAAGAGTATTTTTTAAGAGTATTAGAGTATTTTTTCAATCAATTTGTGTGATCCAAAACATACTCGTATGTTTCAAAACAGAAATTTCATAAGCAATTAAGGGAAATTTCACAAATTCGACAAATTTCTTAAATATTTGAAATTATTCAGACAAGCCGTAAAAATTTAAGTTATATTTTTAAAAATTATTTAATTTACTTTATTATTTAATTAAATTATTCATTTTTAAATTAATCAGCGAAGTATAATTTTGGATTACGTAATTTCCAATGGGTTAGCTTACAATTAAGATTTAACAATTAAGAGCAATTCAAATAAATTTAATAGAAAATAATTTGATTTCCGAATATTTGCTTTACGAATATTTGAATAATTGATTTTAGTTTTCTATTAAAAGCAACTATAAGAATTCATTCTAATTTCTTGATGAATTCATAAAAATAATTTAAATTATTTTTGGTCTCTTTCCATATTGAATCATAAAAAAATTTCAAATTTTGTTCTTAATTTCTAATTTTTTGCTTTTATTTAAAAATAAATCCAACCGATTTATACGAAGACGATCTTCTCTGATTTCTAATTAAAAATTCAAAAAAAAAAAACAGTTGTAAGAGAATTGTAAAATATAAAAATCAATTCCTTAATTCCTTTTTTCTTATTTACCAATAGTTTTAAATAAATTCTGTATTCCCCCATCGGAAAAATTCATTGGTTTTGTGACTATTAAATTTATGAAATTAATTCATTATAAAAAATTTTTTTAACAAACTAAAAAGAAAAAAAATCAATTACTCAATATAATTATTATATAACATGAATAGGTAAATGAAATTTAAATCGAAATCATGTTCTGAATTCGAAATTTCATACTCATGCATACTCGTATGTATGTGAGCTCAATTTGAGACTTAAATTGTACTATGGAATATTATTAAACTAAAATCTTTGTATAGAATTGTAAGTAAATAAGTAACTACACTGTGTAATTTTCCTGATTGAATCGTAAAATTTCCTATAAATTTTCTATTCTATGTCGCAAAATACCTATTTTGACCATATCTATCACATTTTTTAGAAAATTATGTGAGAATTGTTATTCAATTCAAAATATCTTATAAAATCAGACAGGGGCCTGTAAAATATAACGTTTAAGTACAAACTTAAGCTATGTTAAAAGAGGTCCAACAAATTTTTTAAATGACTTTAGTTATTAAATTGTCATACAAGGGAAAGATTTTAGTACTTTCGTAATCCCTTTGAACATCGAAAACATTCATAGTTGCGCATTAAGTATAAATTTTGACCCTATCATTAATTTTATCCAAATAGCCGAGAAAAAATGTCTTTTTTATTGATGTATGAGTGTACATTTCAAAGTCATTTTAAAAATTCCCAGAGTACCAAAGGATCTGGGAAAAGATTATTTTTTGTTTTCTGCGTTTACTTTTTTTTTTTTGATTTTTTAATCGTTATTATTTTTCCATGTTATTCAATTTATCATGACCATATCTTAAACTACTTAAGATGAAATCATTACTTTTCTCTTCTTAAATATCTGATAATATGCATTTTTTGTTTTATTGAATTGGTGTTTGTTGTATTGAGTTTTCTATTCGTTCAAATAGCGAA